AAGTGCTTTTATTTTATCAGAATGTATAAGTAAAGTTAATTTTCTATGAGCATTAACAACTTTATCTTATATTGTATCTTTATCAATGTTAATTATACCATAATAATCATTTTCTTTATTAGAAAATATGCATTTTATTTCAGCTAAATTTTCTTGAGTATATTCTTTGTTAATTTCATTTTTTGATTGTTTTTCATTATAATTTCAAGAGAATGAACTATCAACACTTAGTAGTATAGTATGTGTTTGATTGATGTTCAATAATTGTTCACTATTTAATTGTGATTTGAATGATTTTTTTAGTTGAAAAAAGAAGTTCGTTTTGATAACTATTATTAATTGAAGCAAAGTTTAGGATCAACAGTAAGAGAATGTAACAGATGAGAAGCATGTATTTTTTAGTCCACTACCGAAGTTCAAAACAAAAACTATGAACAAATTAATATATACGTTAATTTTACAATAGCTTAAATAAAACTAACGACTTCTACTTCATTTATTTATTTCAAGTTCTTATGATTTAGATCTGCAGTTCCTTTTCTTTTTGAAATCCATTCAATGCATTTTTTTTATCACTTCTGCATATAAACAATAATGTAATGAATCAAAGTTGTCCTATCACAAAACTCAACTAGTTTTTCTTTGTTGTCCAATGAATAACTCTAGTGACATATTTTTTTAGGAAGGTCTTGATAAGATAGTTCCTTTTCTTCTAAAAAATTAGTTTTTGATTATATCTGATACATCCATCCCAAAGATCTTGATAAGATTCGGATAAGAGAGGACTGCTAGAAGAACGACCAAATTTACATAGGACCAACTGTTGATAAATTTTGTTTTACATTCTTTTAACTCAAATGAGATATGATATCGTGAAACTTATGAATCCAAAATATTAGGTCATTTTGATGTACTTGTTAAAAATTTCGAATATCACGATCCTCAAATTTTTGTTCTTGGACCAATAAAAATTTTCTAAAAAATTGTTTTCTTTACATTTTTATGATTTTTCGAAAATTTTTCAGTCTCTGATCGTCTCTTTGAATTAGAGAAGGTGTGAAAAGATGCAAAAAACAATTCTCTACAAAATAGAATATATCAGTGGTCATTACAATGAGTTTTTGGTAATTGATTGTGTCTTCAGAACGAGAGGAACGTCTGTGCGTGATAGCCTTTTTTTTCCTAGTAATATTGATAGAACTGACGATTTTGAATATGATATTTATTTTTCACTAACAATTAACTTTAATAATGAAAATTATTGAAAACGAGTACCATTTTAATAGTTTCATGTGATTTTCGTACACGCATGAGGAAAAGTTCAATTTTCTCAACATAAAAGCAGCATTTAAGAAATTTTAATTAATACTTTTAAAGCTTGGAATCTCGTAAATGGATTCATAAGTTTCACGATATAATCTCTTATTTCAAGTAAAAGAGTCCAAAAAATCTAGTGACGGACGATCCTATGTAAGTTTAATCCGTCTTCTGGTAAATTCTCTCTTGAAGACTTCATGATGTGAAGGTCAGTTAGGAAAACTCAATTCTGATTGTCTTTTCCTAACGTCTTGAGTAAAAGCAAAAGCGACATCATTCATATATTTACACAATTAAAATGTTTTAACTTTTTGGTAACTGCTTGCAGAGATACATACATAGCTGTTTTTGCGACTAACATTATATGAAAGAAATTTGCTAACGTTTGTGATGTCTGTGAACCAATGAAATTAAAAAGACAATAACAACAAACATAAGTTTAAACACTCTTCTTTATACTCAGAACTTGATAAAGCAGATTAGATTTCAATTGTGAGCATTCACGAACTCTACAAATACTTAGACTCAAGTAGATTTTATATAAATTTAGACATAATTGTACACATGAATAAAGAATATCAATTCTTTCTTCTCATCTTTTTCGATTTATTTTTGATCTTTGGCTCTTTTAAAAATTCTTTTCTATTTTGACTAACTCTCAACTTTGTTTGAGATGTATACGTCACAAAAATCGAAACATAGAGTTCAAATCCAAATTTAAATCGGATCAAAAGACTTTGATCCTAAATACTAAATACACTATGGATTTGTTGTAGCCCTATCTATATTGAATTTTGATTGCATTCCAATTAACAATTGTTCTTGAATCCATTGATGAATTTTCTCTTGAGCCCATCTACTTTGAGATGACCACAGATGAAATAAAGCATATGTATGCATCAATCCTTCACCTTCATCTAATATAACTTCTACACCTGATAATTTCATTTTCTCACTCATATCACGAATTGCATCAATTGATATTTCATCTGTACCAACTGTTATATAAAGTGGTGGAAATCCTT